ACCCTCTGCCTCCAGGTGCAAGCAATTCTCCTGCCTCAGCCTCCCAAGTAGCTGGGATTACAGACATACACCACCACACCCTGCTAATTTTGAATTTTTAGTAGAGATGGGGCTTCACCATGTTGGTCAGGCTGGTCTCGAACTCCTGACCTCAGGTGATTCACCCACCTCAGCCTCCCAAAGTGCTGGGATTACAGAGGTGAGTCACCATGCCCACGCCCAAGCTGAAACCTTTTTTTTTTTTTTTTTTGAGACGGAGTCTCACTCTGTCGCCCAGGCTGGAGCGTGTAGTGGTGCGATCTCACCTCACTGCAACCTCCACCTCTCGGGTTCAAGCGACTCTCCTGCCTCAGCCTCCCGAGTAGCTCGGATTACAGGCATGCGCCACCACACCCACCTAATTTTGTATTTTTAGTAGAGACGGGGTGTCACCATGTTAGTCAGGCTGGTCTCGAACTCCTGACCTCAGGTGATCCACCTGCCTCAGCCTCCAAAAGTGCTGGGATTACAAGCGTGAGCCACCGTGCCCAGCCTGAAACCATTTTTAAAAAATTAAATTGTTAAAGTACAATTAAATTTTTAAAATTAAATTGTTAAAGTACAATTAAATTTTTAAAATTAAATTGTTAGAAACATTGTTAAAGTACAATTCCTTCACAATAAAATGTACCCATTTTAAATACATAGTTCAATGGGTTTTAACAAATCTATACACCCTTGTAACCACCCCCATAATCAAGATATAGAGCACTTCCTTTATTCCAGAAGTACTCTCCTGCCCCCTTGCAATCAATCCCACACCCCAGCCTCTCAGCTCAAGGCCACCACTGATCTGCTTCCAGGCTTTTCTAGAATTTCATATGATACACCATATAGGTTTTCACACTTGGCTTCTTCACTTAGCTCAATTCTTTTGAGATCCATCCAGGTTGCTGCATGTATCAATAGCTCATTTCCCCCACCCCTTTTTTTTTCCATTCCTAAGTGCTGGCAACATTCCTTTTTTTATTAAGTAGTATTATAAATAAAGCAGCTATGAACATTCATTTTCATTTCTCTTGGATAAATAAGAGTGGGGTTGCTGGGTCATACAGTATATGTTTAACCTTATAAGAGACTGCTAAACTGTTTTCCAAAATGGTTGCACCATTTTGTTTTTCCATCAGGAATATATGAAAGTTCCAGTTACTCCACATCCTTGTCAACACATGGTATTGTCAGTCTGTTAGGGTTAGCCATTCTAGTGGGTGTGTAGTAGTATCTCACTGTGGTTTCAATTTGCATTTGTCTGATAACTAATGATATTGAGCATCTTTTCATGTGCTAATTGGCCATGAATATATCTACTTTTTGGAGTGTCTATTCAAATCTTTAAGCATTTGTAATTAGTTGGGTTTTTTTCTTATTATTGAGTTTGAGGAATTATTTATAAATTCTAGATCACAGTCTTATGGCAGGTATATGTATTGCAAATGTTTTCTTCCAGACCGTGGCTTGCCGTTTCATCTTCTTAAAACTAAAGAACAGGCTGGGCATGGTGGCTCATGCCTATGATCCCAGCAATTTGGGAGGCCGAGGCAGGAGAATCGCCTCAGCCTGGGAGTTTGAAACCAGCCTAGGCAACATGACAAGACCCCCATCTCTACAAAAAATAAAATAAAATACTAAAAAATCAGTTGAGCATGGTGGCACGTGCCTGTGGTCCCAGTTACTTGGTAGGCTGAGGCAGGAGGATCACTTAAGCTTGAGAGTTCGAGGCTGCAGTGAGCCATTTCCATACTGCTGCATTCCAGCCTGCATGACAGAGCAAGACCCTGACTCAAAAAACAAACAAACCAAAAGAAGAAAAACAGAAAAAAAAAAAACCTCAAAAGCAGATGTTTTAAATTTAAATTTGATGAAGTTCAAGTTCTTTTTTTCTTTTTTGAATCATGCTTTTTGTGTCCTATGTAAGACTTGGCTGATGCAAAGTCAAAAAGATTTTTTGTCTTATTCTAGAAGTTTTATTGTTTTCACCTTTATGATTCATTTTGAGTTAATTTTTTGTATGGTGTTTGGTCAGAGTGAAGCTTCATTTTTTTTTCCCAACTAGATATCCAATAGTTACAGTAGCATTTGTTCAAAAGATTATGCTTTGCTTATTGAGCTACTTTTACACTTTTGTCTGAAGCAACTGATCATATACGTACAAGTGTATTTCTTGATTTTTTATATTCTATTGGTCTATATGTTTGTCCTTTTGTGTTCATATTTTAAAACTACAGCAAGCATGCAGCAATTCATTGTTGCTAAATGCTCTTGTGATGTCACATGCTAAAACCCTCAGGCACAATTCAAATAATATAGCCCAGGTTCCTGGGATAAGAAACCCTGGCTCCAGCTTGCTGTCCTGGGTTCCTCTTATACCTGAGAAAACAGAGAGATCATAAAAGTAATTTCAAAAATTAATTAGGCAGAGGAAGTAAGAAGCAAAAAAAAGAGAGGTGATTATTTTTTTTGCCAGAATTCTGGTTATTTAAGTTAAACTTGGTTTGGAGAGATAAAGAAAAAAAAAGTGAACTGCAGGTATACGTCTCTGGCTTAAAGTGAAAAAATATGACCCTTATAAATAGTGAGACACCATCCCGTTTTGTAATATAATATTGCAACGTGACAATGGATGTTGGGTTAAAACAATCTCCTTCTTAAAGGTAGCATATACTTTTTTCATCTTAAGAGAATATTTTAGTTCATAATTATTTATTTTTGCAAAGCATCTATTTAATTGTTTCAAATTTGTGAGGAACAAAGTTATTGGATAGGAAGTTGTAGCACAGCTTTTCTATTTCTCAAAAGTAACTACTGTAGGTAAAATGTCTGATTTACCAAAAGTTTGAACTGGTTCGCAAAGGCAGTAAGTTCATTTCTAGTTCAGGTCTTTAGAAACTATTGTGAGATTTAATAATAATAAGACCCTGCAGTTGTTTTTGTTTAGCAATTGCTCATATCAAACAGGTTATTTGTGGTTTTGCCAAAACAGACAGCGTATTTGGCTTTTTCTACCATAGATACTTTCCTATGTCTATTTCTATATCATTCAACGTGGCAAGGCTAACAGAAAATCAAGGTCAAATGAGGAAACTCAGCAAATGGTTTTTATCTGGCTTCACACTGACCACCAACTGGTAAACACCATAAGAAAAACTGTGCAGGATACAAATGATAGGTAAAAGTACAGTTTTTCACTATGGGCCCAGGCTCTCATAAAAGAAGCAGGCCTAAGATTTATAGGAAATGATGTAGGAATGAATTCAAAGTGCTGAAGAATCACAAATTGCTTTTATATTTGCCTAAAAAATCTCCATGCTTTAAAAATTTTCCAGTGGTAGCTTTTTCTCCTGAATTTGCACTCTTAATAATTTTATCCTATAATCCCATCTGACAATGTTATTTTAGGGAAAACCAGGTTAACAGAAGAACCTTTATATCAGATGTGTAGATCATAGCAAATTCCTGGCACTTAATAAACACAACACTGATAGACTAAAGGGAGGTTTAAATGAGGTGAAACACATAAATTATCTCTAATAATGGTTAATTTTTGGTATTTTACTGATGAGAAAACCTCCCTTAACCAAAAGCTGCTTAATATTTTCATTAACTGCTTCAGTTCCCTTTCTTTAAGTTCTTAATACATTATTAATATAACACAGCATGAATAAAAAATATTATAATCCATTTTTTAAAAAACAAATTCAAGAATGCCAAACAGGTGACTTACGAAGGGAGCAGGGAAGCCTAAAGGAGCCTCATTTCTGTCTTCCTGGGACAAAAGGATAAGTAATTGACTGAAATGTAACTACCAGGATATAGACGCTCCTAGGATGTAAAAGAAAATTGTCCATTTAGAGCCAGTGTCAAAGTACAAAACAAAGAAAATTATCTTGAGGCAGATAATGAGAAATAATGCAGGAGAGGAAGGAGGAACTTTAAAGGCGGTTACGTGTAGGATTTTCTTTCTCTCTCTCGGAAGAGAGAACAGCAAAAAGCGAAGAGTGGGAAATACTGGACTTAAATTCCTTTCTCAAGGTTTAGGAACAAAAAAGGAAAGCGAAAAGGAAAACAGAATCAAGGACTTGTACAGCAGGAAGTTGTCCTATAAGCATTTAGTCCAGGGATCTGCCATTCTTATTAAGAGCTAAAACCAAAGAATGAGTGTACAAAAGTGGAAAGAAGAGAAGCCGCCACGGTGGAAGGAGCGGAGCGGGGTAGAGGCGCGCAGAAGCCTCACAGACCACCGGGCCCCGTCCCCGTCCCCGTCCCCGTCCCCGTCCGCGTCCCCCGAACTGTGCAGAAACCACCACCGAGTCCAGGCGTCTCATTTTACAGCGGAAGACACAGACTCTGAGACTCAAATGACCTGCTCACGGTAACAGCACAAAGTCCGTGGGTCTTGTGTCTACAGTCACCAACTTCCGGGCTTGCGACTAAAGGGAGCCAAGCGGCTCGTGAGCGTTTGAGACCAGCCGGGTCAGCGGAAAAAGGCTGGAGAGAGCGACCGCGGCTACCACCGCGGCGGTGCGGGCCTTCGGCCGGGACTCTTCCCTGCGCCGCCACCAGATGGCGCGCTTGGCCCGCCGTTCGCGGCTAAGCTAGGGCGGGTGGGGAGGGAGTGGGGAGGAGGACGTCGGTTGCCTTGGAAACGCAGGGCGCGGCACCGGCTGCGGTGGAGCGGGTAGGCCTGGTGAGCGGGCTGAATGGAAGTGCGAACTATCGGCCCACGGCGGGGTATCCACCGCTGGAGGCTGTGGAGGGAATGTCAGGAGACTGGCTGGCCTCTTTTCTTGGTCCCCGACTCCTTCCAGTGTGACACTGAAGACTTTATAAGCATCCCCGGCCCACCCTCCACGGACCCCCCCTCCTCCACGGGCCCCCCTGTCCACGGGCCCCCCTGTCCACGGGCGCCCCTGTCCCCGGGCCTGGGCTTGCGCCGCTTCGAGATCAGCCTGGGGGTCGCGCCCTCCTGGTCTTGTGGCGAAGCGCCGTTCTTGGGCCGTTAGGAGCTGCTGGGAAGGGCTCTGATAGGCCTACCCCTCTTCTCCACCCAGGAGATGAGAAGGAGGGCAGGCCTTTTTAATCTGGTAAGAATGTCAACCCATCTCTCCACTGCGGTAGAATCCCTGGATACATTATTTGCCCTCTCGAAAGGCAGGCTCTGAATCTGATTCAGGTTTGTAACCTTCACGGTGCCCCCACACAGGCGCTAGCACACAGCAGACGCAGAGCAGACTAAGAATGCCTTCCCTTCTTGCGAGGCTTTATCACTTGACAGTTTTCCCAAAGTGTCTGGAGCCTCATAATAGCCCGGACAGCAGCTAGGACAGAAGGAGGAGGAAACAGGTCAGAAGTTCAGAGACTTGGCCGAGGTTATACAACTCCGTGCAGGAGCGAGGACCAAGCTCGGTCTTGTTCTCTTAGTGCCCCTCTCACCAAATTCTGAGTCTAGTGAATGCTTTCTAAGTGAGAACCTCACATATTCTTGCATCCTTCTCAATATCAGTGCAATGGTCTTCCCCTGTAGGTACTTCATATGTGCTAAGTGTGTTACTGATGTCCTTTACCCTCATATCCCAATTCATAGATTGGTTTCAACTTCTTGCTCTGGATACCACAACATTCTTCTAAAGAGAACTTGGCTTCTTTTATGAATTTGTCACATTTGTACAGTACCATGTTTGTTTCCTCACTCCCTTATCCCATAATTTTCTGCTGGGCAAGAGAGAGAGTTGAGGAAGTGATTAAGAGATGGGAAAAGGTGCCCTATCTAAGCCCCCCCCCACAAAAAAAAAGGAAAAGAAAGATTCCTGTAATGACAGAGGAGAAAAATAATGACTGGATATTTATCAGTCTATGTGATAATGGCTCATGGATTGCCTTACAGCCACCTCCAGAAGATCCTCTTTAGACTCACTACTGCTATTTGAAGGTAGAAAGAAGCCCTTTTTGTTCTCTACCATCATTATTGCATATTTTTCCCTTATCCTAATAATAATATTCTCCCAGTTATTTTTCTTTTCTTTGTTGATAATTCTAAAACTGAAGGACAGTAAGAATTGGAAAAAATGTAGTTCTGGTTACTAGAGAAGTTAGTGTAATATACTGCATTTCAAACTATTTGATATTAGCAATTCTGGATCAGAAGACAGACTAATTTTAAAGCTAAGACTCCAATATAATTTGGGTACTGCAGTAGAAAAATGTGCCATGACGAAAGGATTTGCATTGGTGAAGAAAATACATGCTAATGTAATGTACCTCATCAATCAACCAAGTGAAACTTGAAAATGTCACTCATCTAGATATTTTTAAATACCTTGATTTTAATATATGATTTTAACATATTTCCAAACAAGCCAAATTTTACATTTTAACACTAATGATTTTGGGCCCTATCATATATACATAATCAATACAAAAAGATGTCTCAATTTTTAAAAGTAATGCTTAGGCAGTACTATTACCACTGAATGGCTTTAAATTAATTCAGGATTTTTAAAAACATTTACTGGAGACCAATTCTAATGGAGTTAAAAATGTGTTCTGTGCAATCTCATTTGTAGTAGCCACAAAATGAATAAAATACCTAGGAACCCCCTGTCCGGTGTCATATCCCCAGTGCCTGTCCCCAGATCAAGGCCTGGGCCCCTTCAGCCGTGTCTATCACAAGCACCACCAGCGTGTCTGACAAACTGCCCTACAAAGTCGCCAACACTGGCCTGGCCTCCTGGGGATGCAAAACCCTGGATATCGTGGAGAACCAGGTGCTGGGCCTGATGTGCTTGTGGGAGCTGTACTCAACACTCCAAGCCCCTGAAGGGCACCCACATTGCCAGCTGCTTCCATGTGACCCATGGATATGGCCATCCTCATTGAGACCCTCATTACCCTGGGTGCCAAGCTGCAGTGGTCCAGCTGCAACATCACCCAGGACCATGTGGCAGCTGCCATTGCCAAGGCTGGCATTCCAGTTGTTCGCCTGGAAGGGCAAAACAGAGGAGGAGGAGTACCTGTGGTGCACCAAGCAGACGTTATACTTCAAAGATAGGCTCCTCAACATGATTCTGGATGTCGCTGGGGGCCCCACCAACCTCATCCACACAAAGTACCCACAGCTCTTGTAGGGCATTTTTTTTTAAGTTCTGCTGCAGTGCGCTTCTTTCCTCCTGTCTGAGTAGCGTCTTGCCTCATCTATACTTTGTAACTGAGGGCCAGGTAAAGCACCATGCAGAGCAGGCATTGAATAGATGTTTGTAGTTACTGACAGATTCGACGTCTATTTGTCAGATATTCTAAGTGTAACCTTCCTGGAAGATAACTGCATTTACTTTGTGAATATTTTTCTAGGATTCTCACCCTTTACTGAGAGAAATCTTCTGGGTGGTCAGGAACTGTGAATCCTTGTAAATGTTTATGAAAGTCCCCATGGCTTATAGCACATTATCAAATGCAAAAATAGATGTTGAGGTACTATCATTAGCCCATTGCAAAAATGCAGCTATTAAGCAGGCAGTCCAATTGGCTTACCAATTTTCTTGAAGTGTGTGAAACAGTGAATCTTAATAGAGTTTATGCATGAAGCATTTGTGCTTTAATGGGTCCACATTTTCACTCATATCTTATTAAAATCTTTTGCCATAAGCTGCAGTTAGGTAAGTAATTATACATTAGTCAGAAAGTTAAAAACATAAAAGCCAGGTAACTGAGGTAATTGAGCAGGATGAGGTCATTTTTCCTCCAGCACCAGATGGGTACCGCAGGTAAAAACCATAACACTTGATCTCTTCCATATGACTTAGAAAGAGATAAATGTTGACATTTGTTTTAACTTTTAAATAAAATATTTTATGGTAAAAATTATTACTAAATAGTAAGTTATTGTTTTAAAATGAAACATTTGTCACTATGCTTTTTGTGCAACCATAAAGTTTAAAATTCTAATTCTAAAATGGAAAATAATATAAAAATTCAACTCTGCATCTGAAACAAAAGAATAATCTTTTCTTAACTGATAATTTCTGTGAATTGTGGTGGTATCATGATGACACCTTTTGGTGTGGAGCCTATTAAATTATTATCAACACTTTCATATTTTAGAGGACACTAATGTACCAATGTATTAAATCTTTTTGTTGTGTCATCTGTGTGCTTTTCAGTTGGAAAGTATTGTGGTATATTTGCATTCATGTATATGCTCAAATTAATTAGCATACACAGTAGTGCAAACTTGGTTTGAAAAGTCGCAGACATAAAGACAGCCTTACTGGAAGTCTGAGTGTGCAGGCAGCATGTCTACAGAGAAAAAGCGTGTTTTCATTTTAACAAGTTTTTCCACTTTGGAGCTGAACGGTCTGCAAAGATTTACATGGATTGCCAATTCAGTGATCCAAATCAATGAAGGTTGACAATAGCAAGCCTCATGGATTAGTCTTCCCACACATCATTGTACTTGCAGCAGGCAGACATTCTATGCTTTTGTTACCCAGAACCTGAAGAAGCTTGACCTGGAGAAACAACTGAAGGGAAAGAGGAAGGGGCACTATACGGAGATAGAGCTAGAGATATATGCCCTTTTTCTATATCTCAGACACTATGCTAGGTGCTTTAAATATTAGCTTATTTAATCCTTACAATAGCTCTTAGAGTAGAATTGTTACCCTTCTCCCTTGACAGATGATGGAACTGAAGTTCTTCAAAAAGATTAACCTATTCAAGGTCACACAGATAATAGTGATGGATCTAGGATTAAAGCCCATGTCTGCCTGATTCATTCATGCATCCACTCCTGTGTTCATTTGACAAGCATTTATTGTGTGTCTATTGTGCTTGGTGAGGAAATACAATAGTGCACAAGAATTACATCATTCCTCCTCTCATGAGAGTTTCCAGCCATTTAAACAAATAATTACAAAGGTTATATTATATGCTTTCCACCATACCTAACTACTGATACATTTATTTAAGGCTAGGTACTTATTCTTTTAAGATTAGTGGAAATTAAAAGATAAAAATATGTTAAGGAAGACCATAATCTGAAAAGTCTACGTTAGTATCCAAACCAAACCTATGAAAGTACTCCTGCTTACTATAAACATCTGTGAACAGTGGGTCTTGATTTTCCCTTTTAAAATGTATTTTTGATTTACTATCATTAGGTATTAAACCAATTAATAGCTGATGAGCAGTTATTATTAATACATTATTATTCGCATTTGTAAATATCAACCATTTTAAAAGTACTTCAATGTGTGCTTTTATTTGCTCTTTATATCAACCCTGCCCAAACCTAATTTTTTTTGGATCCTGATTCGAATTCTTTAGTCTTTTGGATCCTAGCTTCTTTGTGCTCATAGAAAATTGTGGTTTTGTTTTCATTTTCTTTGAAAACTTAATAGACATTTAATTAATCTCTCCTGCCAAACACTGTGGAGAAATAAAATGATTGAAGAAGCTCAGTTCTTTGCTCTTAAAAGAGCTAGATAGGGGCAACAGATATAGATGAAAAACATAAGAGAAGGAGTATCTTAGAAAGTTTTGGGTGGAGGGAATGCTATACCTGGGATAAACATGGAATTCACCAGAATCAAGAATCCAATCACTTCATGATGTTCCACCATTGTGGTGAATGTTAGATCTGGGGTCATGGAAGCAATCAGGATAGAAAGCCAGTATTAAGTCCCAGAGGTACCTTATCTAGAGTAAACAAAAGTAGGGAGGCAAAGATGGAATTTTTCACTTTTCCTATGTCTCTTTTCTAAACAGGTATATTTCTTAATAGCTAACCAGCACAATGGAAAACTCAGGGAAAGCAAATAAAAAGGATACACATGATGGGCCACCAAAAGAAGTTAAATTGCCTACCAGTGAAGCACTTCTAGACTATCAGTAAGTTTTTATTCTGAAATCCAAAAGTTGCCATAGATAAAGGGCAGTCATTGTTAAGGCTCATATAACTCCAAATGCAAACAATGCATGCAGCAGCTGCCAAAAGAACAGAGGTGGATTTGGAGGCCTAATGGCACTCTTGTGCTATGCACATATTTTTAAAGGTTTTTGAAACTTTGAATATAACATAGTCCAAGTAGCAGCTACAACTACTTGGACTATGTTATGAAATGAAATGAGAGCTGCTATGAAACAGCTTTCATTAATGTAGTATTGGCTCCCTCAGTTGTTTATTGGTTACTCTCACCTATGCATACAACAGCTTGCTACCTTACCTCTTAAAATACAACACAGAATGGTTAGTTTACTTTTATAGAGAGTAGAAGAGGCCGGGCATGGTGGCTCACGCCTGTAATCCCGGCACTTTGGGAGGCCAAAGTGGGTGGATCACCTGAGGTTGGGAGTTCAAGACCAGCCTGACCAACATGGTGAAACCAGGTCTCCACTAAAAATCCAAAAATTAGTCAGGCATGGTGGTGCGTGCCTGTAATCGCAGCTACTCGGGAGACTGAGGCAGAAGAATTGCTCAAACCCAGGAGGCAGAGGTTGCAGTGAGCCAAGATCATGCCACTGCACTCCAGCCTGGGCAACAGAGCAAGATTCCATTGAGACTCCATCTCAAAAAAAAAAAAAAAAAAAAGAGAGAGAGAGAGTAGAAGAGAAAATTTCCCTTTATGTGACCCTTTATTTCTTAGACATTCTGACTTACATTATTCCTAAATGGCTACATATCAAATCCAAATGATTTACAGAAAATTCTTTTTAATAATAATAAATTTTTATAATGTCTCAATCCTAGGAGCTGGAGACAAAACCATAGGTAACATTTATTCTATGTTTATGTTTTATTCCAACAAATAGCTCCTTGAGGGTCTGTGAACCTTAGCTTTTGGCACAAGGTAGGTGTTTTAATGTGTAATTCTTAGAGAATTAATAGATAAGTGCTAGTCTTTTCTCACATAAGGCTGAAATGTACTTCATGTACTCATTCAATAAGTACTTGAGTGTTTACCAAGTGCAAGTCAAGTGCTGGGTACTAGAGTGTAGCAGCAGGACTACATGGTCCCTGCCTAGATGAAGCATGGGAGACAGACAATAAACCACGAATTTGAGCTTTTGAGAAAGTGACAGGATGGTGTGGTGGCTCATGCCTGTAATCCCAGCCGTTTGAGAGGCGAAGTCAGGTGGATGAGCCCAGGAGTTTGAGATCAGCCTGAGTAACATGATGAAAACGCATCTCTACAAAATAAAAATTAGTCCCTGCTATTTAGGAGGTGGAGATGGGAGGATCGCCTGAGCCCAGGCAGGTCAAGGTTACAGTAAGCCATGATTGTGTCACTGCACTCCAGCCTTGGTGACAGAGAGGGGCCCTGTCTCAAAACAAACAAACAAACAAAAAACCCATGGCTATAACAAAGGTACTATGAAAGAAAACTGTAGGTTGCTGTTTAACAGCGTAACTAAAGGACTTGACCTAGTCAGAGGAGTTAGGAAAAGCTTGTTTGAGAAAGCTTTGAGCTGATTTCTGGAAAAGGAACAGGCATTATGGAGACACAGAACAGTGGAGAGCATGACTTATGGAAGACAGGAGGGTGGAAAAGAGCTTATCAGACCGGGAACTGAGAGAAGGGAGGGTGAGGGAGGCAGGGCAAGAGCAGACACTGGTGATTTAGGCAAGGGTCAGATCAAGAAGAACACTTAGGTTTTTATTAGAGGAGTATAAGGTTGAAAATGGAGAGCCCATGATGCTAGTGACTAGGTCTTTGTTTAAGAGAGTTGTCATTGTTGTTTAAAGACAGAGTCTCAGTCTCTCACCCAGGCTGGAGTGTAGTAGCCTGATTATAGCTCATTGCAGTATCAAACTCCTGGGCTCAAGTGTTCCTCCTACCTCAGATTCCTGAGTAGCTGGGATGATAGGCATATACCACCATGCCCAGCTAATTTTTAAATTTTGGGTAGAGCTGGGTCTCAAAATCCTGGCCTCAAGCAATCCACCTGCCTCAGCCTCCCAAAGTGCTGGGATTTCAGGCATGAGCCACCTCACCTGGCCAAGAAAGATTTTAGATTTTAAAATCTAAAGGAAAGATTTATTTTAAAATGTACCATAAAAAATGTATGGTGTTCTTAACAACATTCAGGGAAAATCTATCTCCTTCGGAGACCCCAATATATTCGTATATACTTTTTAGGATGCAGTGAGTGAAGGGATCAGAACACCAAGAGAGAAGAGGCTTTCATCTGTTTCCTTTTACTTTCTGCTTGAAGTAACATTAATAACTAGATACTATTCATACTCATTTCTCAACATAACTGAAAACTTCCTTCATCTCATCTTAGGAGAGGTGGACAAAAAGCCAGACTCTATGAATGCAACCTGGTCTCTAATTTGCTCCCATGGTGTAACTGGTGGCATCCAGTTAACAGCTGTTTCTCTCTCTTTTGGGTCAACCAGAAACCAGTCTTTCCCCTCTTTAACAAAGGTTTACAAAGAGGCATACATTTAAAAATTCTCATGATCCAGTGCATAATGGACATCTCATACCCTTGTTCTTTTGTATTTGTTAAAACTAAGTAAATAATCTCATGGACCGGAACAGCCACGGTCTTCTGTACCATGCTCTACTGATGACAGTTTATGCATTCCATGTGTTCCTCGGTGACAGAACTGTTGTCACATGACAAATAGCCAACACACTCCCTCTCACCATCAGAGGAAGGATTGGCCAGGACTTCCCTGGCAGCCTCTTATATCTCTCTCAGCTCCTAACAAATCAATGAGCATGTAGTAGTTAGTTAATTCATGGTTTTTGAGCAACTGAACTTTTTTCAAATTTATCCCAAGAAAAGAAAGTCATGAACTTCTATGGTTGTTTGTGAAGAGCTGATACTACCAATGTTCAGTCTATAAAATTATTGTCTCTGAATAATGATGGTTTTTATTTTCTCCTTTATACTTGTCTTGCCCCCAGTTTTCTACAATAAGTATGAATATAGATATAGAAATAGGTGACAATATGGTCGTGAGTGAAAAAATGGAGATTATGATACAGATTTTTTGAAAGTCAAGTTTATTTGGATCAGTGATTGATTGTTTTTGAGACAAGAGTCTCGCTCTGTCACCCAGGCGGGAGTGCAGTGGCATGATCGCGGCTCACTACACCCCGCCTCCCGGGTTCAAGCAATTCTCCCACCTCAGTCTCCCCAGTAGCTGGATTACAGGCATGCGCCACCACACCCGGCTAATTTTTTGTATTTTTAGTAGAGATGGGGTTTTGCCATGTTGGCCAGGCTGGTCTTGAACTCCTGATCTCAGGAGATCCTCTTGCCTTGGCCTCCCAAAGTGCTGGGATTACAGGTGTTAGCCATGTTTGTTTATTTTTATAAAGACAGAGTCTCCCTATGTTGACTAGGCTGGTCTCAAACTCCTGGGCTCAGGTGATCAGCCCACCTCAACCTCCCAAAATGCTAGGATTACAGGCGTGAGCCACTGCGCCCAGCCCAGATTTGTGTTTTTATATGGATAAGGCAGTTAGAATATTTGAAGTGAAGGAAAAAATATGGTGGGTCATTTGTGTTTGTCTCTCCCTCAACAAACTCTGAGCTCCTTGAAGACTATTCGTTACTCCTCTCTGTACCTCTAGTATCTGGCACAGCCTTATAGTATGAGCTCAGAGTTTCTTTGTTGAGTAAATGTTGTTGAATCTTGTCTGAAAGCAAAATCACACTCATGAAAACAAATACAATGTTATTTTTGCCTGTTGATACAGGAAACAAATTTTTTAACTCAGTGATGAAATGTCCACCAATAAACAAGCTCTTTCTTACCCACTCTTGAGTATAAATTGTTCAAATATTCTGAAAACATCTGTAACAAAGCAATCCTGCCCTTTTATCAGGTAGTTTCATGGATATAGGAAGTCCTTCCCAGAACATAAGGTCATGAACTTCTATGGTTGTTTATGAAGAACTGATACTGTCAATACTAAATCTATGAAGTGATCATCTCTAAGTAATGGTAGTTTTTATTTTCTCCTTTATACTTGTTGTCTCCCAGTTTTCTACAATGAATATGGATAGATGTATAAAAACATGTGAGTATGGTTATGGGTTTAAAGAACAAAACACAAAAATATAGGTTTTTTGGAATTCAAATGTATTTGTTTTCCTTCCCAGAATTTTCAATGAAATTGCATGGGTGGGGGGAACATTGACACATTACTAACATTTTAACAATAGAGAGAGTGGGAGAAAGATGACATATTGTCTTACTAACAATTTAATATCACTGTGCTTTTAGAATTGTGCCATATCCTTTTCAAACTGCTTTAATGTATATTGGTTTATTATGACCCCACTTGCTTCAGCACCTAGTGTGACATGTCAGATTCTAGGTGGGAGAGTAGATGGGGGAGATATTAAAAAGGAAAAAGTGTATAAGGAACAATGATGCTTGAAGTCCCCATAAAGTGTTGAGTTCTGAAGTTAAGCTTCATTTGCTTCCTGGTAAAACATACCTCTTTGTGAAGCCAGAGAAGGCTGAAGTGGATTTCAAAGAGAGGCTCAGCTAAATTAGACCCACAGCTACCAAGAGCTCCACAAGAGGGCCAGTGAAGCTGCCAAAACATTTAGGGCATCTCAGCATTCTCCACTGAGGCCTGCTGCTGCCACTCACATCATCCTGAACTGCTCACTCCACAAATGGACAAGAGACAAAGCCCGAGGCCATTTGCTCCTAAATGCTCTGAGGGAGGGGTGGTGGGCTTAAGTGTGGGGTTGCCAGATGTAGCAAATAGAAATAAAGCATGCCCAATTAAATATGAGTTTCAGATAAACAGCAAATAATTTTTTTAGTATAAATATGACCCATGCAATGGGGTTGGGGCTGCACGTGGTCTCCAGCCCAATCATTGTATGCCCAGTCATCACCAAGGAAAGCTCTCAGCTGCACCCAGGGAATTGGTCTATTAACGAGCCCATCTGTAGACTCAGTTTAACCAACGAAGACCACATCTTGAGATTCATTTGCCTGCTCTACCCATGTAAAGAAATAGTATTACTATATTTATAATTGCAGAAATTATATGAGTAATTTGGACATTTGCATAGGTTCTTTTCCGATAATTTTCATTTATAATACTTTTTTTAATCTCCTGAAAAATGGGAGGTAGAGAAGGCACTCCTTCAAAATTTTTGAACAAATGTAAGCTTTAGGTAAGAAGTCAAAGATGAGCCAAGTGTGGTGGTGCACATCTGTAACTCCATCTACTTGGAAGGCTGAGGCTGGAGGATTCCTTGAGCCCAGGAGTTCAAGCCCAGCCTGGGCAGCATAGAGCCTTATTTTCTTATTATTTTGTGCAGCCTGCCCTATCTACTATAGTAGTCCCCTCTATTTATGGTCCTTCTTATATCCTGTTATTTTTCCCCATGGTATTTATCATAATGTGTAAACAATATGTTTCAATATGTATATGTGTTTACTCCTTATTATCCAGTAAAAGGTACTCCTTGAAGGCAAGGATCATGAAGGGTTGTTCAAAATTATCTCTGTAGGCCAGGCACAGTGGCTCACACCTGTAATCCTAGCACTTTGGGAGGCTGAGGCAGGTGGATCACTTGAGGCCAGGAGTTCAAGGCCAGCCTGGCCAACATGGTGAAACCTCATCTCTGCAAAAAATTCAAAAATTAGCTGGGTGTGGTGGCGTGTGCCTGTAATCCCAGTTACTGGGGAGGCTGAGGTGGGACAATCACTTGAACTTGGGAGTGGCAGGTTGCAGTGAGCCGAGATCATGCCACTGCACTCCAGCCTAGATGACAGAGCAAGATTCTGTTTAAAAAAAAAAAAACAAAAACAAAAACTATATAATGCCTAAAACAATGCTGGGCACCTTTCCACTCTTTAAATCTACATTGTATGTATGACTGTTTGAAAGGGAATATTGGTCCATTTAAATTGCAGAATTTTGTAACTGAAAAGGAAGTATAGAGTTCATCTCCATCAATCCTCTTATTTCTGGAGGTTAAATATCCTTAGAGAACTGGAAAATCAGCTCTAAAATTCAAGTTCCATAGTATCCAAACAGAGCAGTTTTTGACCACTAAAGGATTTTTTTTTTAATGTTGCATTTTCTCATTATTGGGAAAGAAAGAGCCTAGTTTTTCTCTCTACTGAGTATACAATGTTAGAAATATAATTGATGTTTGGGGGAAAGGGCTAAGGATATAAGGTTTAATTCAACTGAAATTTACTAAGCATTTGCTTTATGCTAGAAACATTCACATATGATTTCTTATTTTAATCCTTATGATAATATGCAGAGCTAGGTATTGTTATCCCATTTGACAGCTTGGACATTTAGGCCCAGGGAATTGACTTGCCTGAGATCATGTAGACAAGAAGTGGTAAGGGCAAGATTTGAAACCAGAGTTTCTCATTCTTTAACGACTCTTTGCTCTACTACAGAGGTACTATATTTCTGTTTTTGTTTTATTTTGGTTTTAATTGAGCCAAAGGGTTTAGGTAACACATTTCTGTTGCCTTATTTTGGTCTCAGATTTAAAGTTATAAGATTTATTAGATCATAGTGATACAAGATATACTATAAATTTTTAAAAATTATTTTATTTATTTACTTTGAGACTGGATCTCACTCTGTCGTGCAGGCTGGAGTGCAGTGGCATGATCTTGGTTCACTGCAACCTCTGCCTCCCGGGTTCAAGCGATTCTCATGCCTCAGCCTCCCGAGTAGCTGTGACTACAGGCATTCACCTCCACACCTGGCTAATTTTTGTATTTTTAGTAGAGATAGGGTTTTGCCATGTTGGCCAGCCGGGTCTGGAACTCCTGTCCTCAAGAGATCCACCTGCTGGCCAGGTACGGTGGCCCACACCTGTAACCCCAGCACTTTGAGAGCCCAAAGTGGGCAGATCACTCTATTTCTCTACGAAAAATAGAAAAATTAGCCGGGCGTGGTGGCGGGCACCTATAATCCCAGTTACTCGGGAGGCTGAGGCAGGAGAATCACTTGAGCCCAGGAGGCAGAGGTTGCAGTGAACCGAAATCATGCAACTGCACTCCAGTCTGGGCAACAGAGTGAAACTCTGTCTCAAAAACAAACAGACAAACAAAACCAGATCCACCTGCCTCAGCCTCCCAGAGTGCTGGGATTACAGGTGTGAGCCACCATGCCCAGCCCATTTTTAAAGAGATATACTATACTTAACCCCTCAAATAGCTATCAAATAGCCTATAAGGAAGTCTTTCTGCACTATTCTATCTCTCTTTCATACCTTACAGCCACTCAACAAATACTTGTTGAGTGTTAAAGAAATGTATTTGTGCCAGGAAAGAAGTTTTTATTATTTGTAGAAGAGATAGCACACTAATGAACTTGAACCAATAGGCATACCTAGTTTACCTTAGTATTTCAAGCAGGTGAGCTTGCCCTTATAAATTCTTAGCTTTGTTTGTCATTTTTGTCTGAATGTTTTTAGAATTCTAGAAAGCATGTTTTCTGTTTGCCCTCTCCTAGTTTTCCTTTAGGCTAAATTATTTATAAACAATTAGAAAGTATAAAATTACAAATATAAAACATGAACAGAGATTTTTTTCAAAAAAAAAAAAAAAACCTTGAAGTTATCTCTACAATATATATTTTAGTGAGTAAAATAGATTCAGAACCATTTAGGAGAGGTTTTTATCCCTAAATGTGTTTTCATAATACTTTTAATAATTCACTTCAAATACTTTAAAAATTTTTTCTTATTTCCTAAGATAAATGATTCTAACACATTTTATCTTTGTTGATTCTCAGATGTCAAATAAAGGAAAATGCAGTGGAGCGATTTATGTTTCAAATAAAGACACTTAGGGAAAAAAACCAAAAATACCATGAAAGAGTGAGTATAAAATTTAGAACCTATATATAGTCGTTAAACATTTACACTCAGACTTTAAAAACTTGTGGATTATGGTGAAATATACTGTAGGAAATTATCTTCTTCAAAGCTTGGAATTGATTGACTTACAATCTATTTAAGTTTCTTTGTACAGGTGAGGCAGGTGGGTACTGCTGTTGCCATTATATTAGTTATAATGTCAGTGGAAATTGGGTTGAATTATGTTATTTAGACCCTGAAGACACTGAATCTTATGTTCAAAATTTTAAAGCTTTGAAACTACATTTGTCTTTTGACTTTTTATTTAACCAAACTATAAAACATTGGTTCTCCATTTTAAATGTCTTTTTTCTTTTAGATTTTCAGAGAGTAAGCATATGTAAATACCATTTGAAAAGCACAATCTCAGTTGTTAAAATTATTAATTGCATATTTAAGATGATATACTGTTTTTAGAAAATCAGATTAAAATCAATATCAAAAAGGTGCTATATATGACTATCGGGACTAAAGATCAACAGAAATAAAGTTTGGAAGCAATCAATGATAATTAACACAATTTATCCCTCAAGGTATCTTATGAATGAAGAAATACTGAGGGTGCCCCCTTTTAACACATTTATTTTACATGGGCCCTGAAACTTCCACAGTTAACTGTTTTATTTTTGGCTTCTGTCTAAAAAGAATATATCTACAAATTTTAATCGAGTCTGGAGTCAGAGACCTGAGTTTGCATCCTGACTGTACAGCTTACTGCTGATGTCATTTTGGCCAGATTTGGTATGAGCCTCAATTTCACTCTTCTAAAATGGGGATTCCTGTCTCCCCTACAGGGCTAATTTGTTTGTTCATTCAGTAAATATTTAGTGGACAAGACAAGCCAGTAATATAACTGTGACTCTGACACTGTCACAATTCTCAAGGTTCATTCACTTGTAATAGGGACTAAAACAGAAGCTCAGTTTGGCCTGGTGCCTGAATGCAGGCTCCACATGAGATCCAGAGCACTAAAGAGAAGTGAGTCCCATCAAGGCACCCATGCACATCCTCCAGTGATCAGCACGGGGACTTGTAGATCAGGACTCAGTTGTGGAAAGTACAACAAATCAGGACTGAGTAATCATTTTCCCCTTAGCCCATCATTTAGAGCCAGAAATAGTTAAAGTTCTTGTTTCCATGAGGATTGGCTCAAGAATGCACATTAGTGGACCCAGCAGTGAGTAGCAAGGAGAGGCAGATTCTAACTATAACTCTGTATATGAACATCATCCATTTCTTTCCTTTTATGTTGTTATTGCTATAATTTAAACCACCATTTCTTACTCATCCTTCCCTCAAAGTATATTTTCCACAGTGCAACCAGAATTACCTTTTGAATATTGTAAACCAGGTCCATTCTTTCATTCCTACTATTCCACCACAACTGCTCTAGCAAAAGTTATTAATGACCAATTTGACAGGCCCAATAGATTCTTTTTAGTCCTTACTTGACCTCTCATCTCTTAACATCCTTCAGTGGCTTCCTATTGCACAGAGAATAAAACCTATCGTCTTCACTAAAGTCTTCAGGGTCCTTCAAAATCGGACCCCTGTTCACCTCTCAAACCTTGTCTCCAGCTGCTGGTGGAGGATTTTTTGCTCCTTAGCTCAGCTAGGTCTGGGTTCTTGACTCACAGCCAGGAAGAAGTAGGCACGCAGACATGCGAAGAATGAGCAAGGCAGGAAATTTTATTGAGTGATGAAACAGCTTTTAGCAGGGAGGGGATGCAGGGGTGGTCCCCCTACGCAAAGGCAGGAGGGTTCCCAATATGGCTGAGCCCAGGGCTTTTTATGGGTTCAGGGTAGAGAGTGTGTGCTGATTGGTTTCTGAGTATACAAAAAAGGTTAAGGTGGGCACAATAGTGTAGAAAACCAATTAGGAAAGGGTAGGTATATGTAAAACAGGTGAAGGATGAAGACCAATCAGAGGAAAGCACGCCAAACAGGAAGGTGTGTTCTCAATCTGGTTGGAGGATTTACCCAAGTTTCCAGCTTGAAGGTTGGATTTCACAGGGGACACGCCCCAGCTGCCTAGGCATTTGTCTGTCTCCTGCCTGTATCACTTCTCCACCTTTTACCACCTCTTATTTGAAATCTTGAAAAACCAATCTATTTATTTATGCCTTTACTCATGCTGTTTCCTCTTCCTGGAATGCTTTTTTCTTGGCTAGCTCCTTTTCATTCTGCCAACCTAAGTTGGAATATTGTGTAAAATTATATCTCCATTATTAAATTGCAAGCTTTTTAGGCAGCAGCAATTCAGTGTTACTTCTTTGTTTCTCCGGAAGGGTCCAGCTTGAGTAGGTGTTCAATAAATATTTTTTGAGTTAATTCATGCTAACACTAGTAGAAGGAAAAATGTTTTGAGGTCATAGATATTTAACATGACTCATGTTTTCTCTTCGGTTATTCCAAAATCAGAAATGCCCCTCTTCTTTTCCACACATCATCTCTTCCTATGTATTTAGTTCTGTTTGGATTATCACCTCATTTATTACCTTTCTTTCTCTCAGTATGCATTCATTGCTCCAGCTACCACATTAGCTGTTCCATAGTTCACTCTGTCTACTTCCATACTCTCCATTCATTCTTTCATTCCTACTATTCCACCACAACTGCTCTAGCAAAAGTTATTAATGACCAATTTGCCAGATCCAATAGACTCTTTTTAGTCCTTACTTTACCTCTCATCTCTTCAGCAGCCACTCCCTTTATCTTAAAACCCTTTTCTCCTTTGGGTTCCAGGACCTCACTCTATCTTAACTTTTCTCCTACCTCTCTGAACATTTCTTCTCATTTTTGATTTACTGCTCTTTGCCTAGACACATCCCTTAATTATCACATTTACCAGAGTTCTGATCTCAACCCTTTTCTCTCACTCTAATTCTTTTTTGGGGTCATCTCACTTAACACTATGGCTTCAAATAACCATCTATTTGTTAATAATTTTTATATCTGTATGTCGCTACAAAAAATTGTAAAAAGTAGCCAGGTGCCGTGGTGTGCACCTGTAGTCCCACCTACCCAGGGGGCTGAGGCAGGAAGATGCTTGAGCCCAGGAGTTTGAGGTTACAGTGAGCTATGACCATGCCACTGCACTCCAGCTTGGGTAACAGACTAAGATCCTGTCTCTAAAAAGGTAAAAATTAAACAAAAATTTTTTTTAATTTTGTAAATGAAAACCATCACATGCTTCAAAAGAATAGTCATTGTGTTAAATATTTGATCTAGGAGAACTGGATTTATTTTAAGAAGTATTATGCCAAGTGTGGAAAGAAAAGTAAAATGTCTTTGTACATTATATACATTTATTTGTCACTTGTATGTAGTGGTTTTAAAATTATCACTATCTGTGGTTTTTTTTGCCTGTATATAATGGTAAATATTTTTGAGCTGGGATTGAATTTAGAGGCTATTGTTGTCTTACTAAAATTAACATAAGTAAAATCATATATCTTTACTTAGGATTCAAAACATACCTGATAAAGGAATTTTCTACTTCTACAAAAATAAGTGCAGAAGTCCATATTTAGAAAAAGTATTAGCAGTGCAATAGTTTGGCAAGTGATATTTCCATTACTATTATTCAAGTTCCTATATTTCATTTTAAAATAACATGTCAAACTAAAATAATTCAATTTATTTAGAAGCAAATAAAACATGAATCTATTTCATTCCAGAAAACAGAATATCTGATAATTGGTTAAAGAGTAGTAAATTATTTATTTTTCAGTTGTTAATATTCATTGGCCTTCATTTTTTAGTTAAACTTCATTTTGAAATAAGTATAGATTAACTTAGTTATAAAAATGTTATAAAAATGAAAGGTCCTATGTACCTATTACCTAGTTTCTCATAACATATTACAGAATCACAGTACAATATTATAACTAGGATATTGACAAGATTAACATGGAAAGTCAAGATACAGAAGATTTCCATCACCACAAGTATCCCTCATGTGATCCTTTATAGCCACTCACTCCCCTCCCAGTTCTGCCCCCTCATTAGACGCTGGCAATCATTAATCTGTTCTCCATTATTATAATGTTACTTCAGGCATGTTATACAAATGGAATCATACAATAAGTAACCCTTTGGTACTTGGCTTTTTAAAATTCAGCATAATTCCCTGGAGGTATATCCAGGTTGTTGTGTGTGTTATCAGTTAGTTTCTTTGTATTGCTGGCTAGTAACGTGGTGTGGATGTACCAGAGTTTGTTTAACCATTCACCTGGAGAACATCTGGGTTGTTTCCAGTTATTGGATATTTTACATAAAACTAATATAAACATTAATGGACAGGTATTTGTATGAACAAAAGTTTTCATTTCTTTGGAATAAATGCCCAGGAGTTCAATTCCTGGGTAGTATGATAGTGTTAGTTTTTAAAGAAACTGTTGAACTACTTTCCAAACTGGCTGTACCTTTTACATTTCCACCATCATATATGACAGAGCCAGTTTCTCCTCATCCTCTCCAGAATTTAGTGATGTCACTATGCACTATTTTATGTTAGCCTTCTGGTAGGTGTGTAGTAATATCTCAGTATGGTTTTAATTTGCATTTCCCTAATGGATAATGACATTGAATATCTTTTCATGTGCTTGTTTGTCTTTTGCTCATTTTATAATTAGACTTTTTGTACTCTTGAGCTTTACATATATATATATAAAATCTTCTAAAACCAATCCTTCCTTGGATATGTTATTTGCAAATATTTTCTCCTAGTCTGTAGTTTGTCTTTCATCCTCATAAAAGGGTAACAGAGTAAAAGTTTTTAATTTTAATGAAGTCCAGTTTATCAATTGTTCCTTTTATGGATTATGCTTTCAGTGTCAAGTTTTCAAACTCTTTGCCTAGCCCTAAATCCCAAAGATTTTCTCCTACGTTTTATTCTAAAATTTTTGTAGTTTCACCTTTTACATTTAAATCATGGTCCATTTGGAGTTAGCTTGTGT